GTTCGTTGTTTTTTTTAAATTGAAACATTCAGTTTAAGGGAAGGATAATTGTTGAAATATTTACTAAGTCTCCTAGTTGTCCTCGTCAATAGGAGTTTGTTTAAGTGGTTGTAGTTTGTTTTTYTGTTAAGTCTCCTAGTTGTCCTCGTCAATAGGAGTTTGTTTAAGTGGTTTAGTTTGTTTTACTGTTACCTGGTCTATAGGAGAATACGTAGCTTTAGGAGTAAGTTGCATGTTTTTAGAAGTTGGTGGTTCCACTTCCTAGTTTCAAGCACTTATCCGTTTGGTTTTAGCTCTATAAATAGAGCAGCTTCTTGTTGTGAAATTATTTGAGAAATAACAAAGTTCAGTCCTTGTCTCTATTATTTTGTTCTTTTTCTTCCAAGATATTTATTTATCAGAACCTAGAACCAAAGAGATGAATAAACCATTTGATCAGTAAAAAGAAAATTTCTGATCGAAGATAAAACATCAAGGACCAAGATGAGATCAGAAAGAAGCTCTAAAATTTTGATCAAAGGGATATCAGAAGAAAGAAAGAAAACTTCGGTGGTTGTTAATTAAGGGCAATTTGGTTCAGTAAACAGAAATAGTCATCCCGCTCACTACTTTTTCAATTATTTTAAAAGCATCACTGAATTTGTCAATAAGGCTGCGTTTGTTTGGGGTGGAAAAGAAAATTTACACCCATGGAAAAATGTAAACCGGTTTGGTGATACATGTAAATTGGAACCGGTTGAAATAAAATATTTACTCCGATTGTGTTTGGTTGTCGATGTGTGAAATTTGATGAAAATTTTGTTGGTGTTTGGAATACACATCGGTGTAAATTTTACATGGATATCTCTTGCGTTAATTTGGACTGGAGTATCTTATTTCCAACGGTTCATAGGACATTTGAATTTAGACTACAATATTTCATAGCCCCTACCCACGTGGGATAAGCAGACCACAGGTGCATCCCTCCAACATCTTCACCATGGTGCTTATAAGAGGCCTGGTTTCAGGGGAGCTTTGAACACGCCATAGGCCTGCTAAATCTGGGAGCTTTGAACACGCCATAGCAAAGGCCAAAAATTTAGATGTTATTGCATCCAACAGAAAGCTTGGCTCTGCTCATCTTGCAGCCACAATACAGTTCCAACAAGAGCTTCTAAACTGGATTTCAAATTTTTCTAAGTGGATCAGTGAACAGAAGGGTTTTGTTAATTCCTTGAATGGTTGGCTCCTGAAATATCTTTTCTATGAACTGGAAGTGACCTCTGATGGAATAGTTCCATTTTCTCCTGGTAGAATCGATGCACCCCCTGTTTTTGGAATTTGTTATCAGTGGTCTCAAGCTTTGGAGAGAATCTCAAGCAAGTCTTTCCATTTCTAGACTACTGACTACCCCACACATCTGAAAGCAAGGAAAATGAATTTCATTAGAAAAAGAAACCTGAAACAACCACCAAAGTAACCAAACACAAACACAACTATAACTAAAAGATAGAAAACAACAAACTAACAAAGAGAAAACTAGATTGCTAACTACCCTACAAACTATAGA